CCAATTGGAGGATCCCCAAATCAGATAGCCCAAAGAACGAAGCCCAATCAGACAATTCAGGATGAAGGCCAAATAGGGAGGCCCATGAACGCGGTAACACCATCGCCCAAACTTACAAGTCGCCCAGGATCTGAGCGAATGGAGTGCCATGCAGTCGCCCAGAGCTGCTACTCTATTCTCGCCCAAACCTTCGAGTGACCCAAGGTCTTAGCAAACATGAAGTATTATGGTTATCAAGAAGCGCAGTGATCAAAGCAGTTATTAAGCAGCCCTATCACGTTCCACGATTCAAGGAATTCAATTGAAGACGGTTGAACGACAAAGAGTAATGGCAGCAGCAGTTAGAAAAGGCGGTTCCATGACAAGTTGGCCATTACGAGGAAAGTGGGCAGTTATAGAACGATCAAACAGTTTTTAGGCGGTTGATCACAAAGAGATCATCCAGAGAGTATAAAAGGAATAAAAGACATAGAGCAAAAGGACCCCGAATCAAAAATTCTCGAACAGAGAACATGTAACTTTAAATTTCTTAGTTTAGATTTAAACACTTCTTTCAGTAACTCGTGTGCTTGCGCCCCTTGGAGGCATTCTGTTTTTACTTTCCGATTGTAAAGTCATCGCCAATAAAGAACACCCCTTTTTGGGACTTTGTCTCAAGAAATCTGTCCCTTACACAATCGTCTGATCCATTTTTAATTGTTAACGACGAACCCGCGCGAAACTCATTGTTTCATCATATAGATCTGAAAATTCCAAGCAGTAAAAAAAAAGGTAATAATTGATGGAAAGGCATATAAAGATGTCATGGCCGAAAGATTAACTACGAACAGATGCATATCATTTCCGTACAACTTTGCAGGGGTGTGTGTGCATATGTGGGATTTGAGAGCACTGCTCTGATGGGGGATATATAGAGTTCAAAGAACTTGAAATTTGGCAACAGTTGTTTCATTCAAATTAAATTATATAATCTGATGGATTTGAAAATTTCAAGCTTTGGAAAAAGCAAGTAAAAAATGATGGGAAGGCATTAGGCATATGAAGATGCCTTTCCAGACAGGTTTACTAGTCACAGATGCATATAATTTTATTGTTTTCTAACGTTCACACATCTTTCTAATGTAGCTTGTTTTTTATATTCCTAGATTGATCTAACCCCCGTCTTCTGTACTCTCTTCTATAGGCGGTACCTACCTCCAGGGGTCAAGCACTGGCTGATGAGTATGGAATTAAATTCTTCGAGACGGTAAGTAATACTTGTTTCTGATTTCGGAATTGCATACAGAAGAATTCCGTCTTAATAACATTATGTAAAACAGAGTGCAAAGACAAATATGAATGTGGAAGAGGTTTTCTTCTCGATAGCCAGGGATATAAAGCAAAGACTTGCTGAAACTGACTCAAGGGCAGAGGTATCGAATGCTTGTTTTTACCTGTCAGGAATGTCTTTGTACGTTTGTGCATAATCTTGGGTATGGACTATCTGTTTTTGGATTATTGCAGCCTCAAACCATTAGGATTACCCAACCGGACCAGACAGCAGGGGCATCTCAAGCTAGCCAAAAATCAGCTTGCTGTGGTTCTTGAGGGATTCCATTGGAAATACGTCCTAAAACTGACCATTTTGACGGAGGAACTAGTTTTAATATGACAATATCGATGTTGCTCCTATTGTTATCCCTCATTATTTATAGTTGATTCACAATGGGTTTCGATGGCAGATCTTATCAACGTTTTATTAGATTTGACTCTGTTTTTGGTTAAATGATTTCTAAGTCAAGTGTAAAGCTCAATACAATCGTACAAATAGGGGGAAAAACTTGCGTGAAGTTGTGAACACTTTATCGTTATATTGTTCGAACAATTTTAAGGTATCGTGTTATCCACTTGCGGTCCCCACACCCTCT